AGGAGCCTAATCCTTTCGACTCCCACGAACTCATTTCGTGAGCTTTTATTTCCAAATGAAGTTTCCGGACGAGATGATCTAGGTTTGACCTCGAGGGGTTTCCTCGAGTTTCCTAAACCGGTTTCCCGGGCTCATTATCCCAATCTGCATGGCTCGGAATAAGAGGAGCCTAATCCGTACTTCCCCGCGAACTCACATTTTATTCTCTTTTTTTTTTCTTTTTTTTAGGGAGAGGCACACGAGGATACATCACAATTACAATACATGATCATCTCAACTCGATAGAAATGTACCACAAGTGTATAGATAACACGTTTACAACGATAATCGAACATAAGGTAAGCATGCCTCAAGACAACCAATCGAGAACAAACCAAGGACAAAACAATTCCGTTAATCCACATGCGAGTTCCAATGTCAACGAATCATCAATCAATCAAAGGAAACCATCAAATTCATCAAGTACATCAAGCATGAATGCTAATAGTGAAACCAATCAATAATCTCGACTCACCACTTAGCTATCTCGACTCTCGAACAAACATCAAGTTCCATGCGGGAGAGATGACACGAACACACAAAAACTCAAATAAAGCCGGTCCAAGACACAACAAAAACGAAAAAATAAAGCACAAAAATGAAGAGAATATCACCTAAACATGCATAGTCACGAAATCCCTCCCCCACACTTAAAACAAAGCAATGTCCTCATTGCTTGACCAAAAAGTATAGGCGAAAGCACAATATCACGTACATTCATGCAATAAAAATGAAGAGGAGACACAAAGACAAACAAACAAGACAAAATCACACAAAGGCGCACAAAAAGCAAATAAAGAAAGAGAAAATAGGAAAAGAAAATGCGTACTCAACACGGTGGTCGTCACCACCGTGTGTCCAATAGTGGTCGTCCGGAGGGAATAGAGAAGGTCAACCGAAAGCCATTGAGCGCGAAATTAAGCCATCCGAATGGTTTAAAGTTTAAGTACTTGAAACGAGAGAGGCTATGTGTGTGTGTGTCTCGGAGTGATAGTA